AAAAAGTATCAAATAAATTAAATAAAATTAAAACAAAATTTACAATAATTTGAAAAAATGCTATACAAGTATTGAGTATACAAAAAATATTTGACTTCATCATTTTCTCCTATTGTTCTTGACTTTGATCATTGTAGGAATTGAAAATGGTGGAGGATAGAGCTATTTATAGGAATTGTTGAATTGGTGTGATGAGAACGGTGGAGGATGGGGCTATTTATAGGACTTGAAAATAATTCAATTGCCCAAAAGACCCTAAAAACTAGTTCATTTTAGTTGTTGGGTGTGAAATTTTGGTCATTGTAAAGTTATTTATCACTTCACCCAAAATTCCCCCCCTCTCAAAATAGTTTCTCCCCCCCCAAAACCAAAATATATAAATACCCCCCCTATATAGTTGTTTATAGTTGTTGGGGGTATTTCTATAAAAAAACCCCTATATAGCAACGGCCCACAGGTCGTTCCATGATGGGCCTTGTCACGGGCCGCAGGCGGCATGGCCGCATGGCACACACAGTCATGTTGTGTCGTGTCAGCCCGTGGACCTGGAAACCCAAGCCCAGCACAGCCCGGACCATCATGCTGGGCCTAGCACAGCCTGTGTGCCGTCGTGGTTGGTCGCAGGCAGCACGGCCCAATTTACACCTCTATGACAGCCCTAAATGCAACCACTTCACCAAGTGTTGAACAACATAATTTTTATCAAGGAGTTAACTATTTTTAAAGTTCTTACTACAGAGATGATCTTTTTTGTACATCTACTAATGAAACTCATCTTTGCAGTACTACGCAGCCTCAGATTTATCATCTTGTCTTGAGTCATGGTGCTCTGTAGTTTATAGTATTCACTCTTCTCAAAAAGCAATACTTTATGTTTTCAATCAAAAGAAAATAACATTAATAAAAGGTGTCAGTTGGATCATCTGACAAAGTCAATTGACATGATTTCCAATGATGTGGGATTAAAACCCATCTCCATCCTCCCCCAATAACCTGTTTGCCAGTAAAAAAAATAAAAAAACATAATTGTAGCAAGGCATTCAAGGCAAAACAGAAAATCAAGACAAGCACATACCCAAGTCAACATCCCTATCTTTTCCATATTCAACAACAAAACCGTGATGAGAATCCAATGTAGATCCACCAACTTCAGCAAAAAATACTGCACAACAAACAAAAATTTATACTAACAAACATTAAAAAAAGTCTAAGCATTTCCTAGCCCATTTTGTTTTAGAATTACAGTATTAATAATTTCACAACTTTGTTTTAAGGGAAAAATATCACCTTTGGATATAGGGCGTAGGAAGTCATCCATTAGCTTGTCAAGCATTGTTTCGAGGCCAAAATCATCAAGAACAGCACCAAACTTATTCATTGTATTTGGACGCATGATTCTGAACTTGGCTTCTCGAACCCACTTTTCAAAATTTTCCACCTAGAGAATCAGAAAACCTACTATAAGGAACCTAATATTCTAAATGATAAAAAGTAAATTATAATCTATCTCAGTAACTAACAAAAAGGACATACACACCTCAGAAAGTAACAGCTCACAGAAACGTGGCTGGAGCATTTCAAATGTATATACACCTGGAGAGGGTTCTGATATTATACTTCTTAAACTCTCCTCTGTGTTCTCACTGATTGCTTTGATAAATGACGGAACAAAGAAGGTCGTAGGGTGTATTGTATAGAGTTCTCTATGCAAAGGCTGCAAAGGAGGACAAGAAAAAGACAAATAGACAATAAAGTAAGAAAACTAAAGGATTTAATGCCAAATGCATTACATCTGCAGATGAAGAAGTCAAGAATATCATATAACCTCCATGGGATGCACAAATGTTTTTTCCATGCCAAAACATTGGCACTCAAACAAGCATAGAAAGAAGAAGTTGCAATAATCCTCAAAGAATTTGAAAGCACTAATATGCCCTTTTTCAAAGGCAATGGAATGATATATGTATGTATGTATATATATATATATATATATATATATATATATATA